AGACCTGAAACTGTAAAATTCCTGAAAGAAAACATAGGCAGTAATATCTTGGGCATCAGTCTTAGAAACATATTTATGTTTCTCAGGCAAGGGAAACAAAAACAAAAATGAACTATTGGGATTGAACCAAAATAGAAAAAGTTATACGCAATGAAAGAAGAAGTTGTTGTTTTCATCAACAAAATGAAAAGGCAACCTACTGAATGGGAGAATATATTTGCAAATGTTATGTTTGATAAATAGTTAAAATCCAAAATATATAAAGAACTTATGAAACCCCACACCAAAAAAAAAACAAATAATCTAATGAAAAAATGGGCAGAGGACCTGAGTAGACATTTTTCCCATGAAGACATACAGATAGCCAACAGACACATGAAGAGATGCTGAATAACACTGATTATCAGGGAAAAGAAAATCAAAACCACAATGAAATCTCACTTGGCAATGGGTCAAAATGGCTAGTATCAAAAAAATAAACAAGTGTTGGCAAGAATGTGGAGAAAAGGGAACCCTCGTGCCATTTGTGGGAATGTAAATTGGTGCAACTACTGTGGAAAATAGTATGGAGGTTCCTCAAAAAATTAAAAATAGAAATATCATATTATCTAGTAATTCCACTACTGGGTATTTACCCAAAGTAAATGAAAACACTAATTTGAAGAGATATATTTGTGCTCCTGTTTTTATTGCAGTATTACATACAATAACCAAGATGGAAGCATATATGTATATATAACAGAATATTACTCAGCCATAAAAAAGAACAAGCTGTTGGCATTTATGACAAAATGAATGGACCTAGAGGGTGTAATGCTAAGTGAAATAAGTCAGACAAAGACACATACCATATGATTTCACTTATATATAAATCTCAAAAACAAAACAAATGAACAAACAAAAAATAGAAACAGATTCATAAAGAGAATAAATTGGTGGTTGCCAGAAGGAGGGGATGGATGAAGTAAGTGAAGGTACAAACTTCCAGTTTTAAAATAAAAAAGTTAGGGGGATCCCTGGGTGGCGCAGCGGTTTAGCGCCTGCCTTTGGCCCAGGGCGCTATCCTGGAGACCCGGGATCGAGTCCCACGTCGGGCTCCCGGTGCATGGAGCCTGCTTCTCCATCTGCCTGTGTCTCTGCCTCTCTCTCTCTCTCTCTGTTTCTCTGTGACTATCGTAAATAAATAAAAAAATTAAAAAAAATAAAATAAAAAAGTTAGGGAAATTAAAAGTACAGCACAGGGAATATAGTCAATAATATGATAACTGTGTTGTGTATTGATAAATGGTAACTACAGTTATCATGGTGATCATTGTGTAATGTATAGAATTGTCAAATCACTATATTGTACACCTGAAACTAAGATAGCATTGTATGCAACTATACTTGAATAATAAACGTTAAAGAAAATAAAGAAGACTTAAAGTGACTTGGGTTAATAATGTATTTCTTTTTTAGTGCATCCCAGTGGGGCATTTGTCCATAGTGATTACCCTCAAAAGAAGATACTAATTTGCTTAGTTAGCAAATATTTTTAATCATTTGTCAAAGAGGCAAGTATAGGGTAATGATTATGTGTCTGTTTCTGGAATCAGATTGCTTGGATTTAAATCCCAGTCCAATAACTTGCTAGCTGTGTAATCTTGGGCAAGTTACTAAACTTCTCTGTACTCCAAGTTTCTCTTCCACAAAATGGGAATATTAACACCTCATTTTATTATTGTGAGTCTCAGAACAGCATCAGACATAGAATAAGCAATTGTTAAATATGAACTATTGTTAATGCTAATAACTGGAGATAGAGCACAATTGATATGGTCCTTATAGTTATGGGCCTTGTATTCTTTTTGTTTTATTTTTTATTGTACATTTTAATTTTTAGAATTTAAAAATTGTAATTAAGATATAGTTGACATATATTAGTTTTAGGTATATGATTCGACAATTACATACATCACAAAATGCTCACCATAATAAGTGTAGTTACCATCTGTCACCATACAAAGTTATTAGAATATTATTGGCTATATTCTCTATGCTGTACTTTTCATCCTCATGACTTATTTATCTTATAGCTGGAAGTTTTTACTCCTTAATTCCCTTTATCTATCTCCCCTCACACAACTACCAATTCATTCTCTTTATTTATGAGTCTGTTTCTGTTTGTTTTTTGTTTGTTCATTTGTTATACATATATTTTTCATTTGTTATATTTTTTAGATTCCATATATAATTGAAATCATATGGTATTTGTTGTTCTCTGTAGGACTTACTTCACTTAGTGTAATACTCTTTAGGTAAGGACCTTGCATTCTTGAGTGAAAACATAGGTTAAAAAATTACAAATAGCAATAATTACTCTAAAATAAATGTAAGGGGCTGAGATAGAGTATAAAGGAACGGGAGGAGAATCCTACATTAGATAACATGGTCAGGGCAGGCCTCTGAAGAGGGGGCATTTGAGACTTGAAGCATCAGGAAAAAAAAACAAGTAATTTAAAGAATAGAGGGAAGAATGTTCCAGGCAGTGGAAATAGCATGTACAAAGATCCTGAGGAGAAGAGTTTTATTATATTCAAAGCTTTGAAAGAAGACCATTATGGCTGGAATGTAGTGAACAAGAAAGAGTGGCGTGAGAAGAGGTTAATGATGTAGGCAGGACCTTGTAGATCAGAGTAAGGAGTATGGATATTAAGTTCTGTGGGAAACCACTAAAGCATGAGAGAGATGATATAATTTTTCTTTTTTAAGATTTTATTTATTTATTCATGAGGGACACACAGAGAGAGGCAGAGACATAGGCAGAGAGAGAAGCAGGCTCCATGCAGGGAGCCTGATGTGGGACTTGATCTCCGGACTCCAGGATCATGCCTTGGGCGGAAGGCAGGCACTCAACTGCTGAGCCACCGAGGCATCCCTAATTTTTCTTTTTTTTAAAATTTTTTTATTTATTTATGATAGTCACAGAGAGAGAGAGAGAGAGAGGCAGAGACACAGGCAGAGGGAGAAGCAGGCTCCATGCACCGGGAGCCCAATGTGGGACTCGATCCCGGGTCTCCAGGATCGCGCCCTGGGCCAAAGGCAGGCGCCAAACCACTGCGCCACCCAGGGATCCCCCTAATTTTTCTTTTTAAAAAAGATTGATCTTGTATTGTATTCACATTAGAGATCAAGATTGGAAAGGGGGAGAGCAGCTTGGAGGTTCTTGACAATGGTCCAAATGAGAGACTGTGGTGGCAGTGGAGGTGGAGAGAAATGGATGGATGTAAGGTATGGTTTTAAGGTGGAATCAAAGGTCTTGCTGAAGGATAGGATATGGGAAGGTAAGGTGATAGAAGAGAGTTTGAGTCAAGGATGATACCCAAGTTTCTGGCTTAACAGGCTTGATGTGGTACAAATTTTGGAAATGGAAGATATTGGAAAAAGGATCAGGTTTGGTTAGCATTGTGAAAATGTTGAGTTTGAGGTTGTCTATCAGACATCCAAGTGGATATGTGTAGTAGTCAGTTGGATTTATGAATCTGGAGTTCAGGGTCAGTTTTTAGATGATATTTGAAGTTGTGGATCTTAGGACACCTGGGTGGCTCAGTGGTTGAGCATCTGCCTTTGGCTCAGGATGTGATCCCGGAGTTGTGGGATCAGGTCCCACGTCGGGCTCCTGCATGGAGCCTGTTTCTCCTCTCTCTGCCTATGTCTCTGGCTTTCTCTGTCTCTCATGAATAAATAAATAAATAAATAAATAAATAAATAAATAAGTAAGTAAGTAAGTAAGTAAGTAAGTAACATCTTTAAAAAAATAAAGTTGTGGATCTGGATGAGAAAACCTAGGGAGATTAAAAAGAGAAGGCCTGGGATCATGTGAAAATTCCAGCTTTTTTTTAAAGATTTTATTTATGAGAGAGAGAGAAAGAGAGAGAGAGAGAGAGAGAGAGAGAGCGAGCAGGGGGGAGAGGCAGACTCCCTGCTAAGCAGGGAGCCTGACTTGAGACTCCATCCTAGGACCCTGAGATCATGACCTGAACTGAAGGCAGAGGCTTAACCGACTGAGCCACCCAGGTGCCCCTGAATATTTCACCTTTAATGTAGAAGCTGTGAGATCCTAAAGGAAGAATGATCTGATAATAAAGGCAGGAAAGTAGTTTAGTGGTAGAGTAGCTGCTGTATATCTAGCAAGTCCTAGATTTTATGCTCGGTATCTTCATTTACTCTTAACATCTTCAGAGGACAGGGCAAGGCTATTGATTCTTAAAGTCTTTTGTCAGTTACTCATATATAGTTTTTCTAGCTCCTGGAAGAAAGCAGGTACTCAATAACTGGTGAGTGAGTGAGTGAGTGAGTGAGTGAGTGAAATGAATGAGAATATCTGAGTTGTAATACCTGCTTTGCCACAATGCAGGTTTGTGGTATCAGGCAGTTAGCAAGCTACTATTTTGTTATCTGTAAAGCAGCACTAGCAAAAGTACCTATCTTTTTGGACAGGAATTTAAACAATAAAAATTTATAGCAGTTAGCACAGAGCTAGTGGTAAATTGATGCTATTATTAGGTCTACTGCACTTATGGGTGCTTAACCATAAAATAGGGGCAATAATTTCTGCCCTGTTTCCCTCACAAGGCGATGTGTGAAGCCAGCAGTAGTTAACATTTGACTCTACAAAGGGTTATTAATATAAATATTTTAATTGGTCTGAATCTGCATTATGCAGCCACTCTCCCGCACCATCTTCCAGCAGGATTATTTAAATGAAAACACCTCTTTAAATTGACCCAGTGCTCAGCTGGTTAGTCCAGCGGGTTCAACCAATTGTACTCGAAACCACGCCCCAATGAGAAGTCTATTAGCCGCGGAGTTCAATTTAAAAACACCCAGCCCCGCCCCTCCTTCCTTAGGGGAGCACGCGCCCCAACTGTGCACGCTGATTGGCCCCTGCTGGCCAATCACCACTGCACTTCCTTCTGAGGCTGTAATTTTCAAAACTCGCTGTTCGGCAGATTGGAGCGAGCACAGGCCGGTTTGAGGAGGACACGGGTCACTACAACACGGAGCTCCGTTCATTTTCCGGGCCTCTCCTGGTCTAGGAGTGCAGAGCGTCCATGATCTTTCCTGTTCTGTCCTCAATCTTGATGTGAGGTAGGCGCCTTTGGGCTTACACTGCCCGCTCGAATGTCCGGCCCTGTTGCACGCGGGTTGATGCTTGAGCACCATTCCAGCCCCATGTTAACATACTCTTCTCTCGCCGGCGAGCACGGCATCGGCATCTCCTGCCCATGAAACCTTTGTTTTGTTCTGATGTCAGCAGTTTGTACGAAGTTGGGCAGGGAGTGTGTTTTAGAGGGTGAGATGGCAAAAGAAAGGAGACTGGGTCCTACCTTTTAGAGCGACCAGTACACGTGCCTGAATCAGAGTACATTTAAAAAACGTCTTTTCACAAGTGGAAGTGTGGAGGATCAAGTTCATCCACGGGACGTATTAAAGTCAGAGAGTGCTTACTTGCAGGATGTCTTTGGAATTACAGGTTGGATGGAGGATATGAAGGAGGATGGAAACGGGTGCTCTTTCCTTTGTTATCCCCTTTATCTGCACTGGCTCTCTTCTATACCCTACTCCAACTGCTGCAGCTCTGGCTTTCCCACTGCTCTGTGCTTTGGTCCACTTAGGATCCTAGAATGTTGGAGGTCGAAGGACCCTAGAACAGTGCTTCTTAAACTTTGAAGTGCCTACAAATCACCTGGGGATATTGTTAACTTGCACTTTTCAGATTTGGTAAGTCTAGCTGGGGTCCTAGGATTTTATTTTATTTTATTTATTTTTATTTTTTGGGGGGGGGTCCTAGGATTTTAAATTGCTAGCAGGCTTCCAGGTGATGCTAATATTGCTGGTCTGTTGACGGTGGTTTCCGGAGCTAGGGCTCTGGTCCCATTGCCTCATTTTCTTAGGTAGGGAAACAAGACCTAGAGAGGGAAAAGGGATTTGCCTAGAATCATCCAGTCAACTAGGGGCAAAGTCAGAGCTAGATCCTAGGCATCCTTTCCAGCCCAGCGCTGGTTTTGTGGACACTATGCTACATTCTCTCCCCTGTGTCATGCTGCCTGTAACCTGCTTTTATATGTAAAATGAAGTTGCTGTTGTTTCCTGTACACTGTCTTGATCTATGATGGTTTTGGAGGCTAAGCAACTGGGCTTCTAAACAAGCCAACTTGCCCTTGTTTGTGTTTTTAGCACCAGCCCTGGGATGCTCAGTGGGGTCTCTAGCACTTAATCGTGTGTATGTAGGGAAGATGGAAAGTCTGGAAGGTGGAAAGGATTTTAATTTTCTCGTCCAAGTACGGCTCCATTCTGTAGGTGGTAGAATTTGAGATGTTCTGTTGAATGTCCCTTAATGAAAGCTTGTTTTTAGTGGTGTCAATCGCCTCTCCCTTCCCAATGGCAGAGAAATTAGTTCCTTAAGTCACTTTGTGTGTCCCCCAAAGCAAGTGATTAGTGTTTAGGATAAAGAAGGTGGTGTATGAATATCATATGAAAAACCTTATTCTCTCTGAGGTTTAGTTACCTGTGATATCATCAGATGAATGTTTTTTTAGCCTGTTGAGTCCACTCTATTTTTTCTTTCCCCTTGAAAGGTAAAAGTTTCAGAACACGAGTCTTTTGTCATCCATAAAACATTGTATGAGGTGTGAATAATAACAGGAGAGTAAGTGGTTTTCGTACCATGTAGTTAAGGGTGGGTAGACCCCATTTAGCTTTATTGTTGCTTGGCTGAGTTTTGAGAGATGAGATGGAAAAGAGGTATTTAGGGGAGAAGAAGGAAAGTAAGACGGACCTCTTATTTTGAGGGCCTACCATGGGTTTGGTTTTGCCCATACAAATTTGCTTTTGAGCCATACAATGCTTCTGCAAGTAAATGGTGGTATTCCTCTATTGCAAATGAAGAAATTAAGGCTCAAAGATGCTAAGTTGTCCTGTGTAGAAATCCAGTTGTTTCCTAAAAAATCTACTCATTCTGTCTCCTTCCACTACCACATTACAGCCTTTCACTTTGGATCATAGATGGTTTTGGAGTGCTTTTGAGTATGCTTGGAGAAACGTAATGGTGTTTTAGAAAGAACCCTGGAAAGAGCTGGATGATCTCTGCTGCTTAATCATTTGTCCTGTGTAGTAAGTCACTTAACACATTAAGGCCTCTAAAATGGAAAGAATTATATTGGTACTGTGTATCCTCTGTTTTTTTTTTTTTTTTTGTGAGGACCCAACTGATAATAAAGTGTGAAGGCACATATGTTGACTTTTCCTGACAAAATGTGCAATACTTCTTCATCCAAAGCAAAACCTAAATCAGCTTTTCTCCTTTTTAAAACCCCTCAAGCTGCAGTCTTCTCCGCTTCCCCTTCTGAACAGCCTGGCCCCAGCCTAGCATTCAGCCCCTTTCTAACTCCTCCCCAATATATTCTTTATACTCCATACTCCAGGCAACTGGGGTGTCCCTGCACCTGCCATGCTCGACGTGTTCAAGCCTGATGTTCAAGCCTCTGCCTGGGCTAAGGCTTTCTTTTCCAGGAATGCTCCCCAGTCTATTTGGAAACCTCTTTGTCATTTAAGTCTAGATCATATATAACCTCCACTATAGAGCCTTCTTCCACTCCTTTCCCCAACAAGATTATTGGCTTCCCATTGTGTTTTTGTAGTACTTTGTAGTTACCTTTATTAAATCGTTTGTCACATTTTTATGTTACTGTTAGAGCTGTGCATGTGAATACTTATAAGATGCATGATTTATTTGCATTAGTATTTTCCATTGCCTGAAATATCTGGTACAGAATGGTAAGCTAAGCTTATTGCATTACCTTTAGGGTCTTTCATAGAAGAGCCTGTTCTTTTTCAAATGCATTTGAATTTGGAGATTGAATATGGGTGAGGTTGGAAGGGCAGTTTCATCTGAGTAGGAAGAGTCTCTTATAAATCCAAAAACCAGTTCCTCCTAATAATGCATTTGCTTGTGAGACACATAAGTGTATCCTAACTATTGAACACTCACAAAAAAAGAACCTTAAGGAATGTAGAACGGGGTACCCTACTGATAGGGAACAAAGATAAGACTCTCCCCAAGGCTGTAACAACGGTTAAATTTTTATGTTGAGTGATTTTCAGTAAGTTAGTTCCTTCTATTGTTATCTCATCTTTTGAATTTTTTTCCTACCAGGTGTCTCTGGAACTGGATTACAGTTTCTTCTGATTGAATGCAGTCTTTGAATACTCTGGCCTATCATGCATTAGTGTGTGTGTGTGTGCGCGCAGTGCATTCTTGCGTCTTCTCTGTAGCATCATTATAATTGCTGTGCCAGGACCCTGTGCCTTTTAAAGAATATTAACCCTTCCAGTTGGCTTCCATACTATATGATCTGTGATAGTCTTGATCTTTTTAAATGCAAAATACTCATGTGACTTGTTCCCAATGTTTCCAGGTCTAAACTAGGAGGTGGGCCACAGTTCCAGTGCCCACAGAGGATGGCAAGCATTGTGCTAGGCTTTTTAAATAGAATATCTTATTTAATTTGAACAGTATACCTACCCTACAGAGGTAGGTATACTTGTCTCCATTTTATAGATGAGATAACTGAAGCCCAGGGAGTGTATCACTTGCCCAAGGTTAATTGTGATAGAACTAAGATTTAAAGATAGACCTGCCTAACTCAAAGTATGTTTACTTCTAGATATGCTATAGAGAGATTGGGTATTAATTATGCGATGTTTCTGGTGAATGGTGTTTTTTTAAAGAGTCCCTTTCTGATTGCAGCTCTATCTTGGATAGATACTGCCAAACCTGTGAGATGCCACTGCCACTACCATCCCGAAGCTCCAAACCTGAGACTAAGAAATCTCGGTCCAGCAAAATTGTGCCCAGTGGTAATGGCCAATCCGAAAAGGTTAGAGCAAGCTGCCTCTCCCAATGGTGTCTCAAGTAGCTTCCTATGTTGAGTCAGTCCCTATTCTCACTTCTGAATCATTCTGAGTATGTGTTGTTTAACCTGAGAAATTGGGAAGGAGCAGTACCCCTTGTAGCTGAAGAAGACCAGCAAATTAGAACTTGGGTTCTAAGTGTGAACTCTCCTTTCCCATAATGCATAGCTGAAATGAAGGGTGTCCTTCACAACCTTCAAAAGCAAACAATGCTCAGCTCTTGTTAATGACGACCTCTACACTCTTAGTTTCTGGGAGATGCTCATAGTACCTTGCTGGGAGGCTGCTTAGTACATCCTGGGGAGAGTACGAAGATTAGGCCAACAAGTATGTTATGCTTTTTATAGCTGTTAAATTTGAAGAAGGGGTCCATTTTGATTTTGCTGTTTTGACCTTGTGGATAGTTTGACATTGTCATTCCAACCCTGGTTTGTTCTTTGTTCATCATCATACATATTTTAATCAGAGTTTTACTAACACTGATGAATTGTCATTAAGGGAATATTTTCTGGAGCAAACATCATTAGGCCAATTTAATTTCCTTGATTGGTTTTCTCTCAGCACAGATAAACATTTTCTAATGATTTTCATTTTTTATTTTATTAAAATGATTTTCATGGAGGTGCTAAATGTTTTTTTATATATAAATTTGGCAAGAAAGATTTGATACATTGATCAGATTTTTATCTATATCAAATTTGCTGATTAGAGCTCTGCCAGAATAAGTTTTCTTTTGTGGCAGTTATTTTTCCCAATCCAGCTTTCTTGGGGCACATTTTATAAATCTAAACTTTACTGAGTTCACTTTCACCTGTGGATTTTATTTGGGGCTGATTATTTCTACTGGTAATATTAAGTGGGAATTGGATAGCAGACAGATATTTTATTTCTTAGCTAATTTGTGAGTTTTGTGTAACCACCAAATATTATTTATCATGAACTAGATAAAAGACTAATAGTTTACTGATTTCTTAGCTTAATCAATTCAAAAATAGTGGTAATTCTTAGCTCTTTCAGGATTGTTCTGCTCTGTTAGATTGGTCTATTGTACTGATTCCAATTCTCTAAACTTCTGATCACTTACTGTGATCAGATCATATACTAATTGTTCATGATGTAGATGAACAGAGTAAATAAATGATGTGACCCTAATGCTTTGCTTCACATTATAATAACTCTGATATAAGTAGGGCAAGGTTCTTACTTCATAAAGGAAATTTGATACTTAGGAGGTTTTCACTAAAGAAAAACTGTTAGGGTGTAGAAGAGCCCTACAGTGTGATTTACCCTAACCTCTAGTCCCATAGAGATGGTATTATTCACTTGGGAGTTGGATAAGGCATGCGCAGATAAATAATACCTAGAAATAAAGCCCCCTTTGCTCCAAAATATCTACCTCACTTCCTGTCTACTATCTCTTCTTCATATATACTAACAACTAGAGGTTAATATGGATTACCAAACTCCTTTCTCAAAACACAAAATTTATATGTTGGCAAATTGAATTTAAATAAAATTAATTAAAAAACAACACCCCACAAAATTTGGGGTACCCGGACGGCTCAGCTGGTAGGGCATCTGACTCTTGATCTCAGGGTTGTGAGTTCAAACCCCATGTTGGGTGTAGAGGATACTTAAAAAATAATGATGATAAAGAAATCATGAATACGTATACTTTAAAAAAATTCAAAATTTGGGATGCCTGGGTGGCTCAGTGGTTGAGCATCTGATGCCTTTGGCTCAAGGCATGATTCCCGGGTCCCGGAATCAAGTCCCACATCAGGCTTCCTGCATGGAGCCTGCTTCTCCCTCTGCCTGTGCCTCTGCCTCTCTCTCTCTGTGTCTCTCATGAATAAATAAATAAAATCTTAAAAAAAATTCAAAATTTTCCCTATGAGGCTTAAAATCACACTATTTAAAAATATGATTTATGTACATTTATAGTTTATACAGATTTTTATTCTATTTTATTTATTTTTTTAAAGATGTATTTATTTGAGAGAGAGCATGCAAATGGGAGGAGGATCAGAGGGGGAGAGAGAGAATCCTCAAGCAAACTCCCCATTGAGGGCGGAGCCTGATGTTGGGCTTGGTCCCAGGACCCTGGGATCATGACCTGAGTTGAAATCCAGAGTTGGATGCTTAAGTGACTGAGCCACCCAGGCACCTCTATACAGACTTTTAAAAATACGTATTTTCTCATTTTATCCTCAAATAAGTTAGGTTATCATTCCAATTTTACTGATAAGAAAATTAAGGCTAAGAGAGTAAGTGATTTTTCCAAGGTTAACAGCTAGTAATAGTAAAGAGGTTATCCTGGACCAGTACCTAGATATGTGTGTTATTGTCCTTATTGGGAATGTCTTAAATACTCAACACAAGAGATACTTAAATATTTGTTAAATTATTGAACTAATTCACTTGAGAGCATCCATATTAAAGGAATGACTGGGAGAGAGGCAGGGGGTGGTCATGATAGTTGTTAATCTTGGATCAGATAACCATAAAGATGAGAGAACTAAGAGGGAAAACTAACTTTACCAAGTTATTTTGCTCATTCTAAGGGTTACACTGAAGGTCATCATCTTAGTCTTATCCCCATGATCAATGATTACCTTCTTCAGGGACTCTCTAAGCAGCAGTGAGTGCTAACATTTCCTTGTGTTATAGTTTGTTATATGCATCCCCAGTTGCTTGGAGATTCTGGAGTTTCCCCCTGAGCCCCATAGATGACCCAATAGTCCCTGAAAAGTGTTCATGATTGGATATACTCATTTACCTCTTTTACTTTTTTAGAGAGGGGAGAATTATCAAGAAAAGATATCTTCATCTTCACCTAGAAGACTATGCAAAAAAAGATCAGCTTTTGAAGATCTCACCAATGTGAGTATGCTAGTCTAATTCTCTGCTGTGGTTTTGCATAAGGTTTAGATAACCTCTTCCTTAAGGGACCTTTGTGGGTTACCAGACCCTGACCCTCTCTAGAATTTTGAGAGCAAATTTTACTTGGAATTAATGAGCCAATTTCAGATACCACAGGAGGTCTTCTATTGGCACATATCATTGGGATTAATTGGCTGAACTTTCTGGAAGCAGCAGAGTGACTATCAGATATGAAATTATAGATAAATATAAGAGCTATGGGATCTTACATTTAGATAAAGTCCAGATGTGGCTCAGCTAGTTCCCTAGGCCTTGGAGGTAAGTATCTCGATGGATTCATTGTAGTTCAAGGCACTGTTTATCAATTCTAGCACTATGAGCATTTGGTGCAGTAGTTTTTCTATTGTATATGGTTGTCCTCAGCCACAGCATCTCTGGCTCCTGGCATTAAATTCCAGCAGCAACCCATTCATAGTGACAATCAAAATGCTGCCTGATGTACAGAACCATTGAGGACCACAGTTCCGTGACCTGGTCTTCAGTTGTGGAGACTGAGAAACTCAATTTTGATGAGAATTGTTGAGTTTACTTCCAAGTTACTTCTTTTCTGGTATTATTAAGATACCAGCAAAACCCAGAATTGATAGTTAAACTGTTACTAACTGAATGTGGAATTGGGCCAAAGCACTTGGCAGGATGAGCACTGAGTGTTATGCTATATGTTGGCAAATTGAACTCCAATAAAAAGAAATAAATTTTAAAAAAGGCAAAGCAATACTGGAAGTTTTAGCTAGAGCAATCAGCCAAGAGAAATAAGTAAAAAAACATTAGAATATGACAGAAAAAAGTAAAATCATCACTATTTGCAGATGAAAAAACAAAGGAATTGGGCCAAAGGTAATTTTTGGTCTTAGATAATGATGACTACTGAGTGCTTAACATGTGCTTTGTACTATTCTAAACACTTTCTCCTGTATCAGCTCCCTTAATCTTCATTAATTTCTATAAGGTATATACCATAATTATATCTACACATTAGGACTTGCTCAATGTTGTTTTATAAGTCTGTTTCATCTAGGATAGAGAGAATCCTAGTGAACTATTCCTGCCCTCCATAATAGAGTGTCCTTCTCTGGCTACCAGAATACTTGTATCTACTAGATAATATTTTACTCCCTTGAGCAGGATTAGATAAGCATTGGTAATGTTCTGTCCTTTGGGTCTCTGCTCTTTAGATGCTGCTGTGTGACTACCTTTGTACTAACATAGTCTCTTCCCCATACAGATTACAACATATATGCTTAGGTTACAGCTTTATGAATAATTTCTGATTTGCTGTAGACTGGTTGAAAGACTCTTTCCACACAGGCCTGTAAGGTTAGATTTGTTTCCTGACTTATTTAACCATGGATCTAGAAACTTGGCTGAAATAAGGTAGCCATACAAATCGGAAACAGATACAGCTCACATTAGTGCAGCTTCCCTTGGTCCCCAGAGTCCCTGATGGAAGGAGTGGTGACATTGTGCAAAAGCAAGGTCTCATAGCATAAGAGAAATTTTTTTCCATGTCTCAGTCCTTTTTTTCCCCATGAAGTTTATATTGCCATTCAAAAAGAACAAACACAAACAAATAGGAAATATGTGCAGATATCATCCATAGCCCTCTGGTTCTCCAACTGAGTGTGATATCTGTTAGGCTACATCCTTATCCAGGGTGAGAGTGGGAAAAGCAAGGCATCTCTGAGCAGTAGCTCTGCCTCTAGCTTCCCAGAAACTTAGCCCAATTCCCTTTGGAAGTCAAGTTTATTTTATATATATATATATATATATAATTTTATATATAAATTATATATTTATATATATATTTATATTTTTATTGGAGTTTGATACCCTAAAAACTACAGAACACTTCTGAAAGAAATTGAGGAAGACACAAAGAGAGGGAAAAATATTCCATGCTCATGGATTGGAAGAATTAATAGTGTGAAAATGTCAATGCTACCCAGGGCAATTTACACATTCTATGCAATCCCTATCAAAATACCATGGACTTTCTTCAGAGAGTTGGAACAAATCATCTTAAGATTTGTGTGGAATCAGAAAAGACCCCGAATAGCCAGGGGAATATTGAAAAAGAAAACCAGAGCCAGGGGCATCACAATGCCGGATTTCAGGTTGTACGACAAAGCTGTGGTCATCAAGACAGTGTGGTACTGGCACAAAAACAGACACATAGATCAATTGAACAGAATAGAGAACCCAGAAATGGACCCTCAACTCTGTGGCCAACTAATATTCGATAAAGCAACTATCCACTGGCAAAGGGAGAGTCTGTTCAATAAATGGTGCTGGGAAAATTGGACAACCACATACAGAAAAATGAAACTAGACCATTCTCTTATACCATGCACAAAGATAAACTCAAAATGGATGAAAGATCTAAATGTGAGACAAGAATCCATCAAAATCCTAGAGAACACAGGCAACACCCTTTTTGAACTTGGCCGCAGCAACTTCTTGAATTCTAGTTTTGAAGATTCACTTTGGTAGCCTTGAATGGTCTTTGGTGTTTTCCAGAGAAATTTTAATCATTACAGTGTGCCTAAGCCATTCCTAGGATTGGGCATTTCTGCAGATGTCTGAGTTCATCTGTTTGAGCTCTGAATTTTGGGGATTCCCTATATGATTATTTGCTTTTTCCTGTCTGTATTCCTGTCAGTATACTAAGTCTTTATGTCCACATACCTGTTTTCTTTCCTCAGCATTCACTAGTGAGGTCCGGGTCTGTCAAAAGAATTGATCTGTTTTAATTTATCTGCTGTGTTTTTCTTTTCCTCTCCTTTATCATTCCAGCATGGGAAAGGCTTTTGATGTATAAGAGCTGGTTCTAAGCCAGTAGACAAGGAGATAGGAATATATCCACATTTACCTAAATGGTTTTGTGTCAGTAGGACACATTTTTCTTATTTTTTTGGAGAAATAGTTGAAAGGAAGTTCAAATTAAGGTCCCCTTGAGTTTAGATCTGAGAACATTAGTGCTTTGAACTTTCACATATGGCAAGTAGAGCGTTTCACCTCAGGTGTTGGGGTCTCCATCTCTCTCCTGCCAAGAATGCAACTCTTTTCCAATTCTGAATCTCAGTTCCATATATATAGAGGGTTTGTAAAACTTTAGGTAAGAAGATAAAATGAAAACGGTGCCAAACTATTTGAGGAGCAGAGGTGGATGGCCTGAGGGCCTAAGAAAGATATCCCTGTTGGATCGCAGTTGCTTATTATGATCTGATGATACAAAGGCATATTTTAAAATATTTCATTTGGAAATAATTTCAAGTTTACAAAAAATTGCAAAAATAAAAGTATAAATAATATACATATACTCTTCACTTAGATTAACCTGTAGTCAACATTTTATCCCATTTGCTTACATACATCATGGCTCTTTACTCCTAAGTACTTCAGTGTTTATTTCCTCAAATTGTTTTTTTTTAAAAACATTTGTTTATTTATTTTAGAGGGAGTGAGTGAGCAAGGGGAGGGACAAAAGGAGGAGAGAATCTCAAGCAGACTCCCCACTAAGCCTAGAGTCCAGTGTGGGGCTTGATCCCATGACCCTGAAATCATGACCTGAGCCAAAACCAAGAGTCAGAAGCTCAACTGACTGAGCCACTCACACCTCCCAGAGAAATTGTCACAGTACTGTTAACAACTTTATACATTTACATCGATAACAACATTTTCATGTGATTTGTTACCCATATTCCAATTTTTCCGGTTGACCTTCTAAGGTCAATGTTACAAGCATTTTTATCTTCTAGTAAACGAATATTTACTTGTCATTTCTCTAGCTGCTTTTAATATGGAACATTTCCATAGCCTGCCTTCGTTTTCTGTTGACATTACTATTTTTGAAGAATACAGTCCTACCTAGATACCCTTTTAAAAATAGAACATTCCTCATTTTGTGTTTGTCTGATGTTTCCATGTGACTAGATTGATGTTATACATTCTTGGGCTGGGATACTGTGTAGGTGATACTGGTGCTGGGATATTCTGAGATACTCTGTCCTTCTGAGAATATCACATATGGAGGCATATGATATCCATCTATCCCTCAATGGTGATATTAAATTTTGATTACCCAGTCACGGTGTTGTCTGGCTTCCCTCTGTATAATTACTGTTTATTTTTTTCCTTTTGCAACTAATAAGTGGTATGTGGGTCACACTTAAGAGCCTGCAAATAACCTGCTCTTCATCAAAATTTCCCCTAGATTTAGCATCCACTGATGATTTTTGTCTAAACTAAATCTTTATATACACATACACATATATATGTACTTAAACATACATATACATATATCTACATACACAGATGCACACACATATGTACATATACCTGTCTACTCAAAATGTATATATACATACACCTATTTAAGATCATGAATTTGCACAGCTCCCATTCCAATATGTAGGATTTTTCCTTGCATTCCCCAATCCATATTTGTATATTCCTTCTTCTACAATGAGGACATCAATACATTTACTCAATACTGTAACACATCTGAAAGGGTTTCAAAATTATTTCATCCATACCACCATAATAAACCTGTTAAAAAGAGTTCCAGATTTATTGCAATATTCTCTGCCACCCCACAAACCCATCCTGATTGAGGATGTGTATGTTGAGGGTATATAGTCCAATACTCTGTTTACTTGGATTAGTTGTTTCTTATATTTTCTTCTGTTTTCTTTCTCCCATAGGGTATGGTTATGGTATTTATTTGGAATATAATTAGGTTCAGTTTTATTTTATTTTATTTTATTTTATTAAGATTTTATTTATTTATTTATTTATTTTTTAATAAATTAATTTTTATTGGTGTTCAATTTACCAACATACAGAATAACACCCAGTGCTCATCCCGTCAAGTGTCCCCCTCAGTGCCCGTCACCCATTCACCCCCACCCCCCGCCCTCCTCCCCCTCCACCACCCCTAGTTCATTTCCCAGAGTTAGAAGTCTTTATGTTCTGTCTCCCTTTCTGATATTTCCCACACATTTCTCCTCCCTTCCCTTATATTCCCTTTCACTATTATTCATATTCCCCAAATGAATGAGAACATACACTGTTTGTCCTTCTCCGATTGACTTACTTCACTCAGCATAATACCCTCCAGTTCCATCCACGTTGAAGCAAATGGTGGGTATTTGTCATTTCTAATGGCTGAGTAATATTCCATTGTATACATAAACCACATCTTCTTTATCCATTCATCTTTCGATGGGCACCGAGGCTCCTTCCACAGTTTGGCTATTGTGGACATGGCTGCTAGAAACATCGGGGTGCAGGTGTCCCGGCGTTTCATTGCATCTGAATCTTTGGGGTAAATCCCTAACAGTGCAATTGCTGGGTCGTAGGGCAGGTCTATTTTTAATTATTTGAGGAACCTCCTGATTCTGTAGACTTTAAGTCCCTTGACTTCCCCTGGAACTGGTCTGTCCAGCTGGTCTTCTGGGGGAGGGGCCTGTTGTGCTGATTTTTAGGTGTTAGCACTTGGGGGAGCTGCTCCACCCCTGCCTGGTGCATGGCTCAGTGGCGGTTGTTTACCCCGTGAGGCCCCAGGAGCAACAGCCACATTGGTTATGGCAGCTCTGGAGCCCTGGATTCAGCCCCCGCAGGAACTACGGGGCTCTCTGTTCGCAGGGCCTGGAGGCTCCGGGGCGGGGCCGCTGGTCTGCTCAGCTGGAGCAGGAGCGTCCTAGCTGTCCGGGCCCTCCCGGCCTCTGCCTGTCCCGGGGGAGGCTGGATCCTGGGCTGTGTCCCGGCGCCCTGTGCTCCGGGGCCTGCGCTGTTAGATTCGCGCTCCCGGTCGCGCAGCCGCCGCTCTGCGGAGCCCCCGGAGCCCCTCCGAGCTGCTCCGGTCCCGCCGTGCACGCTGCAGCCCTTAGGGAGCTCGGCGCACTCTCCTGTGCGGGCAGGTGTCTGTTAGTGTCCTCAGGAGCCCGAGGGCATCCCCGCCCTCCTGGGTCCTGCTCTAACTCCCTGCGAGCCCCTTTCCGCCCGCCAGGGAAGGTTGGTGCAGCTCCTGCTTCCCCGGGACGGGGCTCTCCTGTCCTGGGGACACTCGCCCCGGCCTCAGCCCGGCTCCTCGCGGGGCTCCTCCCCCTCGGAGGCCTTTTGTTTCTTTATCCCCCCCCCCCCCCCCACCGTCTTCCTACCTTGATAGAAGCGCGAACTCTTCTCACTGTAGCATTCCAGCTGGTCTCTCTTTAAATCTCAGGCCGAATTCGTAGATTTTCAGGATGATTTGAAGGTTATCTAGGTAATTTGGTGGGGACAGGTGATTTGGGGACCCTACTCTTCCGCCATCTTGCCCCTCCTCTCTAAGATTTTATTTATTTATTCATGAGAGATACTTAGAGATAGAGAGGCAGAGACATAGGCAGAGGGAGAAGCAGGCTCCATGCAGGGAGCCTGATATGGGACTCGATCCTGGAACTCCAGGATCATGCCTGAGCCAAAGGCAGACACTTAAGCACTGAGCCACCCAGGCGTACCAGTTTCATTTTAAAGGCATTTTAAATTTATTTTTACTGGGATCCCTGGGTGGCGCAGCGGTTTAGCGCCTGCCTTTGGCCCAGGGCACTATCCTGGAGACCTGGGATCGAATCCCACAATGGGCTCCCAGTGCATGGAGCCTGCTTCTCCCTCTGCCTATGTCTCTGCCTCTTTCTCTCTCTGTGTGACTATCATAAATAAATAAAAATTAAAAAAATTATTTTTACTGATATTATTCATAATCTCAGGATCTCCTCTATTGTTTAATAGAATTAGTTAAGATTAGCATTTATGGTAGAGCTCCCCAGAGCCCCATGTTAAATAAATATCCCCTCAATGAGATGGGATAGATGTATTACAGGTAGTGTTGTGTTAGAGGTCTACCCTGAAACGCTAGCTGATCTTGGTATACCCAGGTAGCAAAGCCAGTTATATAATATTTCTCTCCCTCTGAACATTTTATGGAGTGAAAGTGGAATGTGATATTAACAAAACATCATTTTGGGTTTTGCCAGTCCTTATGCCTGACACGGAGATCAGAACTATATTCCATGTATTTTGGAAACATTTGAAGCTGCTTTTTGGCTAATATGTAGCAGTACTACTATACTGCTAGCTTCCATTGTGATTGGTTGGCACAAGTGCCACACTGGTTGTGAAATGTTTTGATTATTATTCCTTGGAACACCCAATGTGTTCATGGTGGGAATGTGAGTCAGAACTTTTCTATAGCTACTTATTAGGTAAATTGTAGTTCTCTAGATTTCCTTTCTTCCTTCTTCCCCAGCCCCTCCCCACTATTTTTATTTACTTATTTATTTTTTGCAGGCTTCTCAAAGTCAACCTGCCCAGCTCAAGAAGGAAGCCAATAAGGAGTTTGTTAAAGATGTTCCCAAGAAGATAAAAGGGAAAACACCTGCTCTTGGTTTGGCCAAAAGCAATGAGGTGAATATGGTAAGGTGAGTAAGAAGGGACTCAGAAGGTAGTGTTTTAGCTGGTAAAGGAGAGTACGTGACATCCTTTGACCTCCTTTTGTTCCACATTGAGAACATGTTTAGTGAGCCATGGTAGTGATTACCACATTAACCTCTGGGTGCTGAGTTGAACCTAGGTGTGGTTACTGAAGTATTATAGGCCTCCTCTCTCTCTTTCCATGGAATGTGCATATTGAAAGAGCTGTTGTCATTGGGAGGTTTACTCAAAGGTCTTGTGCTCATCTTTTTTCTCTTTTAGTAATTCAGTCCCTGTTTGAGCTAGTCTGTGCTTGAGATTGTGGGGGCAACTTTTCCGGGGATACTCAGCAGCTGGCTGATAGCTTGCAGTCTGCTTATCTCAGAAGCTTTTGGGAGAGGTTTGTCTCTTATTACTAGAGAGAAATTACTCTCTCTCCAGGCCAGAAACCTATGTTTTCCAGTGTTATAGGGAATTGTTCACAGGTTCTGCAAATAGATAGGAGTATTCTCATTTGGATTAGAAGAAGGATTTACCCCTAGGAAAACTTTTATTAGAAGAAGAGTTAGAGAGTGGAGTGAGTCCTTTCTATAGCCTCTCCTCATCCCAGTGGGAATTACTTTCAGGAAAAAAGAGAAGGAATTAGCAAGATAGCTATAGTAGGCTGAAGCATGGGTTCCAAAGGGTAAGAGAAAAAGGTTGGGGAATTCCAGAAAATTTTCGTGTTAGGTCCACAGGACACTTTTCTAATTACCTAGCCGAAAGAAACCAAACCAGATTAGCATTTATCCCTACTTAGTTTCTTGCTGAAATGAAATTCCTGGAATTTCTATGTGTACTTTGACTTTAAGTCCCTGTATTATTTTCTTTTGAATTTCTTTTATAATTCTGAGTTTAGCAGGGAAATCCTCACAAAATACCATAAACATTCTTGCCTTCATTCAGGGTTCAGTGGAATGGACCTTAATAATAGCACTAGAACTAGTAGCTGACATTTATCAAGAGCTTACTATAATCACACATTATTCTAAGTGGGGCTTTTTGCTAACAGCTTTATTGAGATATAATTTACACACCATACAATTCACCCATTTAATGTGTGTAGTTCAGTAGCTTTCAGTATATTTGAAGTTAATGCAACCATCACCGCAATGAATTTTAGAACATTTTCATGAATCTGAAAAACAGAACCCAACTAGCCTGTATCTTAAGCTATTTCCTCTCAATTACCCCATCCTCCCCAGCTTAGGCAATCACTAATCTACTTTCTGTTTCTATAGATTTGCCTATTCTGGACATTTCATATAAATGAAATTATACAATGTGTGATCTCATGTGTTTAGCTTTTTTCATTTAGTATAGTGTTTTCAAGGTTAATCCATATTGTTTCAGGTATCAGTACTTCATTCCTTTTTATCAACCAATAATATTCCATTGTATGAATATACCATACTTTCTTTATCTAGTCTTCAGTTGATGGATATTTGGATTGTTTCGACCTTTTGGTTATTGTGAATAGTGTGGCTATGACTTATTTTCAGTTATTTTGTATGTATACCTAGGAATAGAATTGTTGGGTCATATGGTAATTCTGTGTTGAACTCAATGAGGAACTGCCAAACTGTATCTCATAGTGGTGGCACTATTTTACATTCCTAACAGCACTGTATGAGGGTTTCCAATTTTCTACACCCTTGCCAACCCTACTATTTTTTTTTTATTACGGCTGTTCTAGTGGGTGTGAAGTGATATCTCACTGTGCTTTAGATTTGCATTTTTCTGATGACTAATGATGAGCATCTTTCATGTGCTTATTTGCCCACTTGAATACTTTTTTGAAGGAATGTCTATCAGATCCTCTGCCCATTAAAAAATTTAGTTGTTGAGCTTTTCATTATTGAGTTGTAAGAGTTCTTCATATTTTCTAGATACAAGTCCTTGATCAGATATGTAATTTGCAAATATTTCCATTATGTGAGTTGTCTTTTCATTTTCTTGTTGATATCATTTTGAGGCACAAAAGTTTTTAATTTTGATGAAGTCCAACTTGTTTTTTTGCTTTGTTGCTTATGCTTTTGGTGTCCTGAGAGACCATTGCCAGATATGAGGTTATAGAGATTTAATATTTTCTTTTCAGAGCCTTAAAGTTTTAGCTCTTAGGTTATCGATTCCTTCTGAGTTAATTTTTGTTGTTAGTGTGTGTTAGGGGTCTAACTTCATTGTTTTATATGTAGATATCCAGTTGTCCTGGCACCATTTGTTAAAAAGACTAATCTTTCTCCACCTAATTATCTTGGCATCCTTGTCAAAAATCAAATGACTATAAATGCAAGTGTTTTTTTCTGAAGTCTCAGTTTTATTCCATTGATCTACATGTCTGTCATTATGCCAATACCATATTATTTTGGTTGTTGTTGCTCTGTAGTGCATTTTGAAATTAGGAAGTATGACTCCTCCAACTTTTCCCTCTTTTTCAAGATTGTTTTGACTATTTTGGGTTCTTTGCAATTCCTTGTAAATTTTAGAATCAGCTTGTCCGTGTCCACTAATAAGCCAGCTGGAATTCTTACAGAAATTGTCTTGAACTTGTAAATCAATTTGGGGAGTATTACCATTTTAAAATTAAGTCTTCCAACCCGCAAACATGGGATATCTTTTTATTTATTTAGATCTTTAATTTCTTTCAACATTTTTGTGGTTTTCAGAATATGTTTTGTATTTCTTTTGTTAAATTTATTTCTAAGCATTTTATTCTCCTTGATGGTGTTGTAAATGGAATTGTTTTCCTAATTTCATTTTTATACCGTTCATTGCAAGGATATGGAAACATGTATGATTTTGGTATATTGATCCTTATATCATGGAACCTTGCTAAACTTGTATATTAATTCTAATAGTTTTTGTGTGGATTCCTATGATTTTCTATATATAAATCATGTCATCTAATACACATAGTTTTATTTCTTCCTTTTCAATCTGGAGGCCTTTTATTTTATTTTCTTGCCTAGTTGCCCTGGCTAGAACCTCTAGTACTATGTTGAATGGAAGTGTCAAGAGTTGGATATCCTTGTCTTCTAAGAATTGAGTGACCAACTTATTCTAGTTTTTCTAAGATTTGCCAAGTTTTAATACTGCATACCAGGAACCCTCTCAGTCACAAATAAAGACAGTTGGTCACTCTATCAAGGAAGCCTACTCTGATCACCCCAGACCTATGATATTATAGATACTCAATACCTATTTCCTATACTATTGTTTCTTAAGAGATGAATTTGGAGAGGCAAACAGGAACCAGATCACCAGGGCCTTGCAGATTATGGCAAAGAGTTTGGAATTTATTCAGAGAATTAGAGGGGCTTTGTCTTAAAGCTTCAGCAATGTTATATGACTTATATATTGCTACACTACAAATATCCCATTCCCTAAAGAAGAGTTGGATACCCTTTTCTTTTCCCTGGTTTTAGGGGGAAAGCATTAGTCTCTTACCCTTAAGTATGATATTAGCTTTGAGTTTTTCATAGATGCCCTTTATCAAGTTGAGGAATCTCCTTTCTAATCCTAGTCTATTGAGTGCTTTGTCATGAAAGGGTGTTGTACTTTTTCAAATTATTTTTCTGGATCTATTGAGATGATCATGTTGCTTTTGTTTTATATTCCATTAATATAGTTTGATATATGAGTTTTTGGATGTTAAAATAATCTTGTATTCCTGGGACAAATCCCACTTAGTCATGATGTATAATACTTTTATTTGTTGCTGGATTTGGTTTGCTAGTATTTTGTGGAGGATTTTTGCACCTGTATTTTTAAGAGATACCACATTATAATTTTCTTGTGATATCTTTGTTTGGTATCAGAGAAATATGGTTTTATAGAATGAGTTGGTAACTGTTTTTATATCTTCTATTTCTTGGGTTTCTTTATGACAAACTGGTATTAATTCTTCTTTAGAAGTTTGGTAGAATTCCCCAGCAAAACCATCTCAGCCTAGACTATTTTTCATGAGTAGTTATATATATATATATATAAACATTTATTTTTTTATTGGAGTTCAATTTGCCAATGTATAGCATAACACCCAGTGCTCATCCCATCAAGTGCCCCCCTCAGTGCCCGTCACCCAGTCACTCCCACCCCCCGCCCACCTCCCTTTCCACCACCCCTTGTTCGTTTCCCAGAGTAAGGAGTCTCTCATGTTCTATCTCCCTTTCTGATATTTCCCACTCATTTTTTCTCCTTTGCCCTTTATTCCGTTTCACTATTTTTTATATTCTCATGGGTAGTTTTTATATTAATTCAATGTTTTTAGTTATTATAGGTCTACTCAGATTTTCTGTTTTCTTTTTAAGTCAGTTTGTGTCTTCTCAGGAATTTGTCCATTTCGTCTAAGTTATCTGATTTATTGGCATGCAGTTGTTTTGAACTGTTCTTTGTTTTACATGTTTTCATTGCCTATTAATTAATCAAATCTTTACATCAACTGTATGAAGGAGGTAATATCTCCATTGTATAGGTGAAAAAAGTGAAGCACAGATAACTTGCTCAAGGTTACCCAGCCAGTAAGTGGAGGAGCCAGGATTTGAATCCAGGCAGTCCAGCTCCAGAAGGCATACTCTTTATCATAACTAGGTTATCTGAAGACAACCTTTAAAAGTTCTCATCGGGAGGGACCTGGAATCTATCTGGCTATGTGGAACCTTTCCAGGTACTTTTTTCTTAAACAGTACAGTGGTTTTTAAATTATATTCATTGAGTTGTACAGCCATCACCACTATCTAATTTTAGAACTTTTTAACACGCCCCAAAATTTTATTTTTTTATTTATTTTTATTTTTTTTAAAGATTTTATTTATTTATTCATGAGAATACACAGAGAGGAGAGAGAGAGAGAGGCAGAGACACAGGCAGAGGGAGAAGCAGGCTTCATGCAGGGAGCCCGACGAGTGACTCAATCCCGGGTCTCCAGGATCACTCCCTGGGCTGCAGGCGGCGCTAAACCGCTGAGCCACCAGGGCTGCCCACACCCCCAAAATTGAACCCATTAGTAGCCCCTTTTCATTTCCCAGTCCCCCTTTCTCTACCCCTCTTCCCTGCCCCTTTCTAGCTATAGGCAACCACCAATATGCTTTTTTTCATGGATATTTCTCTATGGGTATGCCTATTCTGGACATATCTTATAAATGCAATCATATGATATCTAGTTTGGATGCACCTACTCTTGTTCAAACTGATGATTGTATTTGCCTTCAGTTCTCATTCTGATTTCTAGTCTTCCAGTGATTTGGTCATACTAGGTTAGTCACTAATTGAATATGAAATCCTGTTCAAAACAAAAGCTTTGAATCTGACGTATGTTAAACAAATGTCTATTTTGGTCTTTTTATTCTCTTCACTGCAAAGTATCTCATGAATAGCTTAGGTTGAAGGGGATGTGGTTAGATACCACCAACATTAAGTACCAGCCCACCTTTCTTTTCTAAGACTTCATAAGCCTCTCATAAGCTTCTCTCTTATAATTCTCTCATAAGCCTTCAAGCAGTATTAATTTCAGCCTGCATTTTACCAGATGCCTGGTGGTTATAGACAAAGAAAAATGCAGCTAGTGAGGGAGACTTATATAATAGCAGATAACTCATACTCGTACAATGTGGTATTATAATAAAGACTTTGTATATAAATGAAATAATTCATATATAAGAAAGCCTAACATGGATTTCAGGAAGAATTTTTCAGAAAAGTGTGAGAACCTAGCTAGCCTAGGCCGTAGAAATTATACAGTGTACTACTTATTTGATTCACTATGGTACCCATTGATTCTTTTTACCCTTTAATCTGTCTCTTGAGGTTGAAGCCCTTTCCTCTTTTATACTTTTGGTAAATACAGCAACAAAGTGAGATGGTTGTTGAGGATTCTAGGAACTATGTTCTTCTTACCCAGACATTGTTTCTTTTACAGTTATAAGCTGGAATCCTCACCAGTAGTAGTCTCTACTACCTTGGTACCAAATATTACAGAGAAACCACTCATTCTGGAGAGATCTACCACCTCCGGAACAATCACCACTGAGGAGGCATCATTTTTCAGAAAGCCATTAATTTTAAAAGAGGAATCCAGTACTGAGGACACAGGCCTTATCAAGAGATCATTGTTTTTAAAGAAGTTCACAAATAAGGGAGAGATATCCCTCATGGAGAAACCAACATCTGTACAGGAAGAGGCTGACAGCAATGATGAGTTTGTTGTAAAGCTGATCACTTTTGGGAAGAAGCATAAAACTGAGGAGGTAGCCATCACCAAAGGAACATTATCCTTAAAGAAGATGTGCACATATCAGGAGGACTTGGCTTTGCAAGACATCGCTGTTGAAGAGAATTCCTTCTTTATGGAACCAACAAACTTCAGAAAGAAGCCTAAAACAGATGATGTAACCGCCACCAAGAAGATGTTATCTTTAAAGAAGAAGAAGTATATCACTCCGGGGAAGGTGTCCCGTATGAAGAAACCACTAGTATTGCAGAAGACCAACTCTGAAGAGGAGTCCCCCCTCATTAAGGAGCCACTGGCTTTCAAGAAGAAACCTACCAAGAAGGAGACAGCCTTCACCTTGAGGCCATTATCTTTAAAGAAGTGTACTACTCAGGGGAAGATGGCTCACTTGAAAAAGCCATTAGAATCCCAGAACACCTCTGGAGAGAAGGCACTCATTAAGGAGCCATTGTCTTTTAAAAAGAAGCCTATCACTAAGGAGGAGTCTCTCTTCCAGGAGTTTTCTGCATTGCAAGAGAAGCACACCACTGATAGGGAGGTGGTCCTCTTGAAGAAGCCACAGGTACTGCAGGAGGAGAAAGACAGTAAGGATAAATTTCTTATGGAGCCAGTGTTCCTTAGGAAGAAATGTACTACCAAGGAGACAAACCCCACCAAGAAGCCGTTACCTATAAAGAAGAAGTGTACCATTCAGGGGAAGATGTACTACTTGAAGAAGCCACTAGTATTGCAAAAGACAACCCCTGGAGAGGAGTCATTTGTTAAGGAGCCACTGCCCTTTAAGAAGAGCACCACTGAGGAGTCCCTTTTCCATGAGCCATCCATGTTGCAAGAGAAGCACACCACTCAGGAGGAGGTGTCTGTCTTGAAGAAGGCCTTGACCTTGCAGAAGACACTAACTGAGGAGGAGTCACATTTAAAGGAGCCTTTGGCTTTTAAGAAGAAACGTACCACTGAGGAGGCAACCCCCACCAAGAAGCTATCATCTCTGAAGAGGAAAAGGTGTACTGCTCAGGGTAAGAGGTCCTGCTTGATGAAGCCACTAGTATTGCAGACCTCCTCTGGAGAGAAGACACACATTAAGGAGCCATTGTCCTTTAAAAAGAGGTCCGCCATTGAGGAGGAGTCTTTCTTTAAGGAATCACCTGTGTTGCAAGAGAAACATACCATGCAGGGGGAGGTGGCCCTTTTGGAGAAGCCAGGGGCATTGCAGGAGAATGTCAGTAGTGAAGATGAATTTCTTATGGAACCAATTTCCTTTAGGAAGAAACATACCACAAATGAGGTGGTCTCTACCAAGGAGCCTTTATCTTTAAAGAAGAAGAAGTGTTCCACTCAAATAATGATGTCCATCTGCCAAGAACTGTTGGACTTGCAGAATATAATTAGCAAAGATAAGGCTTCCTTCTTTATGGAGCCAGTGTCACTTAGGGAGAAGTCTTTAGCTGAGGAGGTAATCCTTACCAAGACACCATTATCTTTAAAGAAAAAGGAAATCACTCAGGGGAAGATATTCCTCTTAAAGAAGCCACTGGTCTCAGAGAAGACCACCTCTGAAGAAGAGTCACTATTTAAGAAGCTATTGCCCTTTAATAAAAAGTCTACAACTGAAGGGGAGTTCCTCTTCCAGGATCCATCAGTACTGCAAGAGAAGCATACCACTCCACAGGAGGTGTCCCTCTCAACTAAGCCATTGACCTTGCCAGAAAAGACCACCACTGAAGAAGAGCCCTATATTAAGGAACCATTGACCTTAGAGGAGAGGCCTACTACTGAGGAGGAATTCCTTTCTCAGGAGCCATTTTCATTGTGTGCTAAACCTGCCAACAAACATGAATCCCTCTTCTGGAAGGCTTTGGGCTTGCAAAAGACTCAAACCAAGGAGGACTCCTTGAAGAAGCTGTTGACTTTGCAGGAGAAAAACACTACTGATGAGGAATCCCTTTTAAATAAGCCATCAATTCTGAAGGAGGAGCTTTCCACTAAAGTGGCAACAAGCATTGAGAAGGAATTATCTTTAAAGAAGAAACCCACTGCTCAGGGGGAGGTATTCCTCTTGAAGAAGCAGTTGGCCTTGCAGGAGAACATTACCAATGAAGAATCCCTTATTAAACAGCCACTGGCTTTTCTGAAGCCCAGCATTGAGGAGGCCATCCTAAGGGAGTCCTTGGCCTTGCAGGAGAAGCCCAGAAGTGAGGAGGAGACCCTTTTCAAGGAGCCATTGTCCTTTCAGGAGAAACCTACCCTCAATGAAGCATTCCATTTCAAGGAGATAATTTCCTTGAATGAGAAACACAGCACTGGGAAGGAGTTGTCTTTGAAGGAGCCATTGGCCTTGCAAGAGAATCCCACCCAAAAGGAAGATAACTCTCTTGAAGATTCCTTGATCCTCCAAGTTGAAACCAGCTCATGTGTGCCCAGCACTCCTCCTGTATCCAGAGCAGGCATGTCCAATGTGGGCAAGTTGAGTACCACAAGCAAGTCCAGTGTTTGTGAATCCAGTTCCAATAAACCTTCCTCATCTTGGGGCAAGAGCTCACAGAAGGAGGTATTCTGTTCTCTCTTCTTAAATTAAATGACGTGTTCTTTGTTGTCCTATAGGTGGCTGCTGGCAAAGAGATTTTTTTTCCTGCCTCCCTAAGCAATTGATCTGTATATAGTAAGCTATACTAAATCAAGTTGGCATTGTGGTATCTCTTGACTTTCCAATTGGCATAGAAATGTACTCAATTAGCAAGTATTTATTTCAGAAATACCCACAAGGATCTGGAATATTTGTGTGTGTGTACATGTCAGGAAATTGCCTTTCTTATTAATTGCAGTCTGCATTACAGTGGACTCCAGTCAAAGATGGGTAATGTCCACAGAGGCATCTCCCACAGAAGATGGTATTTAATTGTAAATTGGAAGGATGAAGGAATGAGATTTGGCAAGAAGGAGGAGAAATACCCCTGTTGTAGGCAAAATAAACTGGGGAAAGGTGTAGAAGAGAGGAAAAGGCTACCAAGAAGATTAATTGGGTTAGATCAAAGCATTGGAACAAAACAAGTGACGTAAGAAGATATGTAACATAAGTTGAAATAGTAAAATAAGAGTATTTTTCCTGAAGAGTCTTGAGCTTACCTGTAAAAATGGTGCCTAGTTCCTAGGGCAGAGCAGGCATGTACAAGAAGGACTAAACATTTCTTAGCCACTTTAGCAGTATGAGGATTGAAGGACCAAGGGGTACTGTGTTGTGGCCCAGGATATATGTGGCTTGAGGAACCTTAGCAGAAGATGACAGTGGGAAGAAAGGAGTGCATGCTTTATTGTGTGTGTGCTAAGCCTTCCTTAGAATCTTTATCCTCCTAATTATCTTTTTGGTGATTTCCAAGCAGATGACCCCATTGGAGGATATTGACAGGAACCACGGTGATCCATTTTTCAACTCAATATATGCCAAGGATATCTTCAGTTACATGAAGGAGAGAGAGGTATGTAGGTGGCTGTTGGAGGGGGAGGATTTCTAGGTTTCATATTCTCATCATTCATTCCATCCTTCAAATGCAAGTTGAAAGGGGAGGTAATAATGATGATTAAAATAATAACAGCAACAACTGACATCTACTGGTAGCTTAGTGTAAGTTAGACATTGGGGGCTAAGGGGTTTATAACATTATCTTCTCCCCATAATTTCATGATGGTATTATTATCTCCTTTTTATTGATTGGAGAAACTGCTAAGAGTCACACAGCTAGTATACAGTAGAGCTGGGATATGGTCTAAAAGTCTGAGTACCTTGAAGACCATAAGCCTGCACTCTAATTGTTGAGGAGACAGTGTCTAGTAGTCTCTGAGTGGCTGCTGTCAGAAATCCTTTGCCCTTTCTATGCAAGTATCTGGCATCATATGTAAAATCACTCTCCAACCTGGTGAAATTTTCTTCCTCCTTTGAGATCTGCTGGTCTCCTTGACCACTAAAATTCATTGACTCCAAGTTTTCTTTCTCTCTCCGGAACAGATGGGACCAAGATTATCTACCAACTGAAATTTTAGCAAGCCATGAATAAGAGGGAGGATGAAAATTTTGTCTTTTCTATAGAGGCATCATGTTTGGTTAACTGATTTCAAATTCTTCACTTTTTCTAGTACAGCCTGGAGGACGTAAGAGATAACTTTGTTATACTACACATATGGGCCTTAGCTCAGCAGTGTCAGTTTCACTTGGGATCTTCTTAGAAATGCAGAAACCTAGCCCCACCTGGCCTTCTAAATTAGAAAGTGAGTTTTAAAGATCCCCAGGTGCTATGTGTTAAAGTTTGAGAAGCACTGCTCTACATAGCATGGCATTGTGCCTTAGATTAAATTGCAAAGAAGGGGCAGAACCTGTTTGGTATTCATCCAGAGTCATATATGTGCATTCCTGCCCATATTCCATTTTCTCCCTGGACTCCTCGATAGCCAACCTGATGCTTGAATATGCTGTGCAACCATTTCCTAAGGATAACTAGGACTTGTCTGGAAAAGGATACTCTGATCTGCCCCTTTCTGATACCAGCTGAAAATAATGAATTAGAACTGAAGAAGTTAATTATGTTGTTACAGTTTGTTTTTCTGCGATTAGTTGCAAGTACTTTTTTTATAAGTTACAATTTTTGAACTATAAGAAGAGTTTATGGATTAATATTTCGTTTTTATTGCTTCCAGGAAAAGTTCATACTTAAAGAATACATGAACAAGCAGACTGACATCAATAGTTGCATGAGGGCCATTCTTGTGGACTGGTTGGTAGAGGTGCAGGTAAGCCTGGCAACTGCTGCTTTAAGGGGCTGCTCTTCTCTTTATTGATTATTCATTCAGTATCACCAGATGCCAAGCATGGTAAAAATGTTCCGGATCTACAGAGCTGACCCATGGTTCCTGCCTTCAAGGAGCTTGTGATCTAGGGGACAGGATAAGACATGCAGAAAGATAAGTAAAATTAAAAAAAAGAATATATTAGGTACTATAAGAATGTTATACATAAGATACTATGAAAACTCAGTGGAAGGAGAGAATATTTGTAGAAAAGGCAATGATGGTATGGCAGTTTAATCATTCTCAGAATTTTGTAAAAGTCTATCTAGTGATTTGAATAGAGGTCAGTGACAAAGTCTTTCAAGCTGTGGGTGAGACTGGGTAATAGGAAGGGCAGTGTGGCAGACATGGCAGAACCAGACATGGCAGGAGCTATTTAATCAGGGTTGGATGTTGAGAGAATACTGCTGTGAAAACTTAATTATCAGTTTACACAAAGGAAGGATAGTCCAGAATAGTCCCTGGCACATAGTGGAGTGCCAATAAATATTTGTTGATGAATGGCATTGAATGGAGTTCAATGCCATGGAGTTTGCTATGGAGTTTATAAGAAAATATAAGGGATAGGCTATGTCCAGAAGAGTCTTAACAATATAACTGGAAAGAAAAGGTAATATAGTTTAATATCTTTTATTGAGTGTCAGAGAGTGGTTCAGAGTCACTTTGAAGTAACAGACTAGGAAAATATGGTAGACATGATATATTTGGATATCAGCAAAGCATGAAAATGCTTCTCATCTTATAGAAATGAAGAATAATAAATTAGGTAATAGGATTGCCATGGACTTTGTTCTTTTTTTTTCAAAAAAGATTTTATTTATTTATTCATGAGAGACACACAGAGAGAGGCAGAGACATAGGCAGAGGGAGAAGCAGGCTCCCTGTTGGGAGGCTGATGTGGGACTCCATCCCAGGACCCTGGGATCGCGACCTGAGCCCAAAGCAGATGCTCAACCACTGAGCCACCCAGGTGCCCACCATGGACATTGTTCTAATCAACATTCTTATTAGTGATATAGATAAGAACAGAAAACATACCCTCATCAAATATTGCATGGCATGAGACTTGGAATAGGGTTCAAAATAAATGGATATCAGAGATAAAATACCTCTATTAGCTGGAATGATGAACTGAATCATTTTTTAAAAAAAAACTTTATTGTTATTTTTATTGCACATTCACATTTGTTATAGCAAAGTAATAGATTATAATTACCTGTGATCCTGCAACTCATAATGATTATTAATATTTGTGCGTGTATATTATCCCTCCTTTTAAAGTGATGAGCATCTACTTTAGGGGTGCACCTTTAGTGCATGGATCATAGAATCACAAATGCCCAGGTCCCATCCCATACTATCAAATCAGAATTGTGGGAGTGTGTCCCAGGCACATACATATATATTTTTTGTTATTTTAAAACATTTCTTATTACTTTATTTTATTCATCATGATAAGTATGCTCTTTAATCCCCTTCACCTATTTTACCTATTACCCTACCCACTGCCCCTCTGGTAACCATCAGTTTATTTTCTATAGTTAAGAGTCTGTTTCTTGACTTATCTTTCTCTTTTTTTTTCTTTACTTCTTTGTTTTGTTTCTTAAATTCCAAATATGAGTAAGATCATCTGATATTTGTCTTTCTCTCATGGACTGACTATGCTTAGCATAATACACTCTAGCTCTATTCATGTTATTACAAATGGCAAGATTTCATTCTTTTTTTATGGCTGAATAATACCCCATTATATATATGTACCACATCTTCTTTATCCGTTCATCTATTGATGGACAGTTGGGCTGGTTCCATAGTTTGGCTATTGTAAATAATGCTGCAATAAATATAGGGGTGCATGTATCCCTTTGAATTAATGTTTTTGTATTTTTTGGGTAAAGGGGCATGTATATTTTATAAGGCTCCATAAGTGATGTTAATGTACACCTTTTGATAAAGAATCACATTTCTAGAAAATATGTATACTGTTTTTATAACTCTAATTTTTATATTTTTGAACAGTAAAGTGGACCTTTGGATATATAGTTCTATGAAATTTTAACATTTAATTTTTTAAAAGATTTTATTTATTTGAGAGAAAGAGAGCGAGCACGAGCACTCATGAGCAGGGGAAGGACAGAGGAAGATGCACACTACCCGCTTTTGTTCCAACTCTCTGAAGAACGTCCATGGTATTTTGATAGGGATTGCATTAAATGTGTAAATTGCCCTGGGTAGCATTGACATTTTCATAATATTAATATTTCTAATCCATGAGCATGGAATATTTTTCCCTCTCTTTGTGTCATCCTCAATTTCTTTCAGAAGTGTTCCGTAGTTTTTAGGGTATAGATCCTTTACCTCTTTGGTTAGGTTTATTCCTAGGTATCTTATGCTTTTGGGTGTAATTGTGAATGGGATTGACTCCTTAATTGACTCCTTTCTTCAATTTCATTGTTAGTGTATAGAAATTCCACTGACTTATGGGCATTGATTTTGTATCCTACCACACTGCCAAATTGCTGTATGAGTTCTAGCAATCTTGGGGTGGAGTCTTTTGGGTTTTCTTTTCTTTTATTTTTAAATATTTCATATATTTATTCATGAGAGACACAGAGAGAGAGAGAGAGGTAGAGACACAGGCAGAGGGAGAAGCAGGCTCCATGCAGGGAACCCAACACGGGTCTCGATCCCAGGTCTCCAGAATCATGCCCTGGACTGAAGGTGGTGCTAAACCACTGAGCCACCCAGGCTGCTCTTTTTTGGGATTTCTATGTACAGTATCATGTCATCTGCGGAGAGGGAGAGTTTGACTTCTTTGCCAATTTGAATGCCTTTTATTTCTTTTTGTTGCCTGATTGCTGAGGCTAGGACTTCTACTATTACGTTGAATATCAGTGGTGAGAGTGTGCATCCCTGTCATGTTCCTGATCTTAGGAGAATGGCTCCCATTGTTTCCCCATTGAGAATGATATTTGCTGTGTTCGTAGATGGCTTTTAAGATGCTGATGAATGTTCCCTTTATCCCTACACTCTGAAGAGTTTTGGTCAGGAATGGATGCTGTCTTTTGTCAAATGCTTTCTCTACATCTAATGAGAGGATCATATGGTTCTTGTTTTTTCTCTTGGTGATATGATCTCTCACATTGATTGTTTTACGAGTGTTGAACCAGCCTTGCATCCCAGGGATAAATCCCACTTGGTCATGGTGAATAATCTTCTTAATGTATTATTGGATCCTATTGGCTAGTATCTTGTTGAGAATTTTTACATCTGTGTTCATCAGGGATATTGGTGTATAATTCTCCTTTTTGGTGGGGTCTTTGTCTGGTTTTGGAATTAAGGTGATGCCGGTCTCATAGAATGAGTTTGAAAGTATTCCATCTCTTTCTATGCTTCAGAACAGCTTTAGTAGAATAGGTATTGTTTCATCCTTAAACGTTTGATAGAATTCCCCAGGGAAGCCATCTGGACCTGGACTTTTGTGTCTTGGGAGGCTTTTGATGACTGCTTCAATTTCCTCCCTGGTTATTGGCCTGTTCAGGTTTTTTATTTTTTCCTGTTCCAGTTTTGGCAGTTTGTGTTTTTCCAGAAATGCATCCATTTCTTCTAGATTGCCTATTTATTGGTGTATAGCTGCTCATAATATGTTTTTAAAATCGTTTGTATTTCCTTGGTATCGGTGGTTATGTCTCCTTTTTCATTCGTGATTTTATTAATTTGAGTCTTTTCTCTTTTGTTTTTAATAAGACTAATAAGACCTAAACCTTTAGGTTTATCTATCTTATTAATTATTTCAAAGAACTGACTCCTGATTTTGTTGATCTGTTCTACAGTTCTTCTGGTTTCTATCTCATTGAGTTCTGCCCAAATCTTTATTAACTTTATCCTTCTGCTTGGTGTAGGTTTTATTTGCTGTTCCTTCCCCACGTCCTTTAGGTTCAAGGTTTAACTTGTGTATTTGAATTTTTTCCAATTTTTTGAGGGATGTTTCTATTGCGATGTATTTCCCTTTCAGGACTGCCTTTGCTGTACCCCAAAGATTTTGAACGGTTGTATCTTTATTTTCATTAGTTTCCATGAATCTTTTTAATTCTTCTCTAATTTCCTGGTTGACCCATTCATGTTTTAGCAGGATGCTCTTTAACCTCCACGTGTTTGAGTTTCTTCCAAATTTCTTCTTGTGATTGAGTTCTAGTTTCAAAGCATTATGGTCTGAACATATGCAGGGGACAATCCCAATTTTTTGGTATCAGTTGAGACCTGATTTGTGACCCAGTATGTGGTCTATTCTGGAGAAAGTTGTGTAAATATCTGTGAAATCCATCTGGCCCAGTGTATCATTTAAAGCTCTTGTTTCTTTGGAGATGTTGTGCTTAGAATAGCTGTCATTTGCAGAAAGCACCGTGTAGAAGTCTCTCAGTATTAGTGTGTTATTATGTAAGTATGTCTTTACTTTGGTTATTAATTGATTGATATCCTTGGCAGCTCCCACATTAGGGGCATAAATATTCATGATTGTTAGGTCCTCTTGTTGAATAGATCCTCTAACTATGATATAGTGTCCCTCTTCATCTTTTACTACAGTCTTTAGGATAACCTTTATCTGATATGAGGATTGCTACCCCTGCTTTCTTTTGAGGACCATTTGAATGGTAAATGGTTCTCCAACCTTTTATTTTCAGGCTGGAGGTGTCCTTAGGTCTAAAATGAGTCCTTTGGAGACAGCAAATAGATGGGTCTTGCTTTTTTATCCCGTCTGAAACCCTGTGTCTTTTGTTGGGATCATTAAGCCCATTCATGTTCAGAGTTACTATTGAAAGATGGATTTAGTGTCATCATAATACCTCTTCAGTCTCTATTTTGTGGATTATTTCTTTGGACTTTTTCTTTTACGGGTGCCCCCTTAATATTTCTTGCAGAGCTGGTTTGGTGGTCACATATTC